AGGAGGAGAAGCAGAGGCCGCAGCACTCCATGCAGATCTCCAGGCAGTCGGCGGACTCGCAGCAGGCGTCCACGATGCCGCAGTCCAGGTCGCAGGGCAGGTCGCAGTCGGCGCACTCGCCGGAGCCACAGCAGCAGCAGCAGAGGCACGAGTCCTCGGAGCTGCAGGAGCCGCACGTGGCGCAGTCCAGGACGATGTTGCACAGCGTCAGGAACTCGCAGAACAGGCAGGACAGGATGCAGTGGACGCAGCAGTCTGCGGGCACGGGTGGGGGGACAGGGCCGTGAGACAGCCAAGGGGCCAGGGACCCAGCCACAGGGGGCTCACGAGCGCCCCCCTACCCTCCCACAGCTCGGAGAAATGGGGATTCTTTCCAGGGCATGACCCCAAGGCACAGAGAGTTACATGCACCTGCCCCGTTGGCTTCAGAGCCAGGGTCTGAGCCCAGGCGGTCTGGATCCCGAGGCCCGCTCTTCGACACCCTGAGTCATTTATTTAACACACGCACCGAGTGGTAGTCCGTCCCAGGCACTGTTCTAAGTGTTGGGCATGGATGAAACTCATTTAAACTTGCAAGGATTCCATGAGATGGGGCCACTCTTAGCCCCACTCTACAGATGAAAAAACTGAGGCACAGAGAAGTCACTTCAAAATAGACCCAGCAGAATCCTGCCATTCTGCTGCTCTCTCACTGGTCGCCCCACTCCCCGCCTTTGACTACCCCTCCCTGCACCCACTCCCCACAAAGTAGCCCAGAGGGACCCTTGCAAAACCTCAGTGGAGTCCATCCCTCCTGTGCTCAGAGAGATCTCACAGTGGCCCCCACGGTCCCACGTGACCTGATCTCCTCCCACACTCTGTCCCCTTGGATCACTCTGCTGTGGCTTTCCACAACCACCATCTCGGTGACCTGCTGGCCGCACCCCAGCTCCTTCAGCCCCGCCCCTGGCCTGCTTCACCTCCTCCCTACCCCCAGGACTTATCACCTTCCATGGCTCTGCACAGCTTTCTCCTCCTACTAACATGTAAGGCAGGCGTCTTTGTCCGCTGTAGTCACTGGCATGTTACTAGTCCCTAGAAGGTGCCTGACATCGAGGTAAGTAAATGGTAGCTGAATTAATGCGTGAGCCTACCCTTGGGCAGCCAGCGGGGAAACGGTGGAGCTAGGAACCCAAACCAGGCAAGCTGGTTCCACTCAGTGTGCTGCCAGGATGCTGAGCTGGCATCCCTCCCAGGGGCTGGGCACGCGGCAGGTGGGCCCCTGGCCTTCCCTCCAGAGAGTCTCACACCACGGGGGATCTGACTCTCCCGCCTCATTTCTGTGTGGAGGGACTGTGTGGAGGGACAGCTCGGAGCCCCTGCAACCTACCTACAAACTGAACGAGGGCGTTCTCTTCAAATGCAGATCCGATGGAAGTCACTACCTTGTTTAAAACCCTTCAGTGGCTCCCTATTGCCTTCCAGATAAAGTCTAGGTCCAGGGTAGAGTTAACCAGGTGCCTTCCACCCCCAGAGCCCCTGCCTTTTTGGAGTCTCACCTTTCCCCATTCCTTACATAATTTCCATGATCTAGCCAAACTAGCCATTTCTCACTTCTGTGTTAATGCCCCTCCTGGCTAGATACTCCTACTCACCCTTTAAAGCTTGCTCAGACACCTCGGGAGCCTGCCCAGACTGGTCCTCCCCAGCTTTCTGGGCTGGTGTGGGGTCCCCTGGGGTTGTTTGCATAATCTCCAGTGTGTGGCTCTGTCAGTGTATTTATCACCCCATATGGTGATTACCTGTTTGTCTTTCTCATGAGAGCTTTAGAGGCCACGGACTGGTTACCCAGCACAGGGCCTGGCTCGTAGCAGATGCGCAGTACATTTTAAATGAACGAACACTCCCTTCATAATTAAGACTGTTGGGCAGAATCTGTTCTGTGGGAAAGTTGGTGAACACATTACGTGCAAATGTGCACATTGAATCCTGTTTGCAGAAGACCAGGCCGGACGGAGTCCCCCGGAGTGGACAGGGCTCACTTAAAAATTCTGGGGTGAAGGTCAAGTACCACTGAGCTACAGGGGGCCATCACCCATGCTGAACTGATGCCTCATGAGGCGGGAAAGCTGGCTGCCCAGGGCGGCCCTGCAGAGGCCCCTCTGCATGGCAGGAACGATGGCTGGAGTATCTGGGTTCTCTGACTTCCCGCCGCACCACGGCACCCCCCTCACCCCCGCCGGAGCACAGTCCTCGCTGCACCCCCATGTGAGTATCTGATGATGGTGCCTCATTTTATTCTGCTGGGTGTCCTGCTCTCACTAAACAGAGGGTCCATTCCTTGAGGGAAGCTGTGTTTCCAGAAACGGGGTGGCTTACACTGGCTCAGCCCACATGGTTTTCTTCCTTGTTACGGCAACTCTCCGTGAGCAGAGATGGGGAGGGGCTGGTCTTGAGAACGCAGCTGTGCCTCGATTTACCCACCAGGTGTAGTTGGCCAGATTCCCAGGCCAGTCTCCTGGGCCCTACCCTGAAGTTCAGAGCCGGTAGGCCTGGCGTGGGGCTGAGACTGAACTTCTAACGAGCAACCTGGTGAAAATGCTGCTGCATCATGCCTTCGGAGGCCTCTCCCAGGGAGAGGTGGGATGGGGTGCTTACCTTCCTGCGCCTGGAGGGGGATCTGGGAGGCAGCAGATTTGGTGCTGCTCTTGCCCTTCTTGCTGCCCTGGCTGGCGAGAGACGGGTGCGTCTGCAACTTCCGGTGGGCCTTGGGGCCACCCAGGGCACCATTCCCCGCCCGCCTGGTGCTGCCCAGCTCCGAGGGGTGGCCTGAGCCATTCGCCACTAGAGGGGTGCAGCCCAAGGGGTTCCCCTGAGGCTGGCCTAGAGAGATAATGAGAAAGGTTAATGGGGGACCCCGGGGTGGGGGGCCACAACCTCCCAGAGCTCTGGCCCGGTCCTTAGATACACCACAGGCCAACTAGCTGGCCTTGTATTCTGCAGATGGGGAAACTGAGGCCCAGAGAGCAGAACTGACGTGCCCGGAGGCACACCAGGAAATAGCAGAGTTGAGCCTGGCCCATGACTCCCAGGCCAGTGCTCCCTCCAGAAAAGACAGAGGTGCAAGGCAAGAGGAGGGACTCAGAGCCCTGGACCCCATCTTCTTACCCCATATGAAATCCATTCTCCTGCCCTTGGAGTCCTGGGGTTTTGGCAAGAGGGACGGTGGTCAGGGGTAAGGACTGTTTGGCTGGGGTGAGGAAGGACAGCAGCGAAGCAGTTAACCTTCCCCTCGGCCCCTGCCAAGCCCCCAGCTGTTTTTGCCCTTCGTGTGCTGGGTGATTTATTGGAAACATCTGTTTGGAGATGAACGCCCTGGCCCTGGACTCCAGGGGCCCTCACAGCCCCTCTCTTCCCCTCGGCTCCCCTGCCCTGTCCGCCTCTGTGGGGTGGCTGGCAGTCTGCTGTGGGGCCCTGGGGGTCTGGTTGAGAAGGGTGACAAGGGAAGAGAGGCCAGCGGTGGGGGAGGGGGGGTCCCCGAGGCCAGGAATTCTCTGAGTCCCCATCTCAGGCTGAGGGACCAAACTTCAGCTTCATCAGTGGGGTACAGGGAAGCTGGGTCTGGGGATCCCCCCCAAAGCATCCAGTCCCTTTCCTCACCTCAGGTTTGCTCACCTGGATGGCATGGTTCTGTTCACAAGAGATGAGGGGAGGTGTGTATGTGTGTGTGGGTGTGTGGGTGTGTGTGTGTGTGTTTGGGGGAGGGGAGGGAGAAGCAGAGCTCTGGGACCCCTCAGCCACTCAGGGCTGCTGATCCCTGGGCAGGACTCTGTAAATGTGTAAGTGTGGGACACTTCCATCTCTACGCACTGGGGTCTGGGTCCCCGAGTCCCGGCAGGCTGAGGAGAGGGGAAGGTGGCCTCAGAGCGTCCCCTGACTGGGGAAGCGTCCCCTGGTTGGGCCTTCTAAGAAATGGTGGCGGTCACATCCAGTCAGGGAGCACTGACTGCTCGCCTCCACCCTTCTAAGCACTTGTCATGCTGATTCTCTCACCAAAGCCTCTGAGTATCTCCATAGGGCAGGACCCACCTTTCACAGAGGAGGAAACGGAGTCCTAGAGGAGTACAGTAACTTGTCCAAGGTCCCACAACTAGTAAATGTCGGAGGTGGGCCCGGCCTGGAGGCTAAGAGCTGGGGCTTGGGACGCAGAGGCAGGAAGGGAGCAGAGGCTGGGAGACGGAGGACTGGGGAATAGGCTGCTACATCACAACCATCACTAGTCTCGGAACTAGTAGCTTACGCGTGGAGCTGTGATGAGGTACCAGCACCGTGCCGAGAGCTTTCTGTGTCGTAGTTGTGACAGATCGACTATTACCGGCCCCATTTCACAGATGAAAAAACTGAGGTGTGGAGAGGGTAAAACCTACCCAAGATTCCACAGCGAGGAAGTGGAGTGGGGAGGGGATGGAGGCTGTGAGAAAGGAGCCGAGGACCAGGTGGGGAGTCAGGAGAGGATGGGAGCAGGGCTCTGGAGCAGCTCCACGCTGGGAGCCTTTGGCCCTGAGGTGTGGCTGGTGCCTGCATCTGGGTAAACAGGGGTAAGGCCATGGGAAGCAGCCAGGCCTGAATCATCCTGCTCCCACCTCTTGGCCCCGTGGTGGCGGGAGACCGGCCCGAGTCCTTGGCCAGCTTCCGTGCCCCCTGCCCTGATGCCTAAACATGGGCACAGTGACCAGAGGGCGGGAGTGTGTGGTGAGCTGAGGGCCCTGGGAGGTTCGGGCAGACACAGAGCTTGCCTGTGGCCATAGCCGTGGGGGTGGCCGTGGGGACTGAGTCACAGAGCAAACACTCGGGCCCATAGACACAGAGGTGTCTGTCCGACTCCCATCCAGGCCCCCTCCTCTGTGGCCACGGCGCTGACCTCTTTCTCTCGATTCTGCGGGTGGGTGTGTCTAGAGGAGGCTGAGGGCAGTTCGCTAGCAGGATTTAGTAACCCCGACTTCCAGGGAGTCCAACTTAGCCCCAGATGCCCTGGCTGAAGGCAGCTCCCTGCTGAGCCCTGCCAGCTGGGCAGGAAGGCACAGGAGAGAGCACTGGGCCGGGAGACCTGAGTTCCCTAGCTGTGTCCAGGCTGAGTGGTTCTGTGTGCCTCAGTCTCCTCATCTGTAAAATGGACTTGGCAAGAGCTATCCTGCTGCCTCGCTGCAGGCTGCTTTGAAGAGCTCGTGAGATCCTTTAGGGAGAGAAGGTTGGAAAGTGCAAATGTGTCTACGAATTTTGTGGATCTTATTATTAAATACAAATGGCTCTGGCTGCCCCTCCGCCTCTCTCGAGAGCGAAGGGGAAGAATTCCCTCCCTCCAGGACCTCCTCGGAGGCCTCCTCGGGCCAAGCCTGGGGGTGGGCTCCCTTCTGCCCAGGGCAACTGGGGGCTCCTCTCCTGCCTCTTCACCCTTGACGCCTGGAAGGGTGGGATCCAGCGGGGCTCTGCTCTGGCTCCCTGCCCCCAGCACCCCCAGCCCCCTTCTTCCTTTCATACGGCCACACGCCCTCTTGTCCTGAACCATATCGCCTGGAGCCTGTCCACACTCCTTGTGAACTGATCTTATACCAGTCATTTTGTCTGTGGCGGTCTCTTTCCTAGACAGAAAGGACAGTGACCACGTCACAGGCCTTTCCGTCGCCCACCCCTCAAGGTCCTGGCCCTGTGCTAGGCTCCCGCGGGCGACGGCTGCGTTTCCGCCAGCCCGTATGAATCGGATTCCCTGGCACGAGCCCTCCATGTTGCCACCCGCATCCCCTGGCTCCCTAGGACTCACGTGTCACAGCTTCTGTGGGGCCGTCGAGGTCAGTGCTGTCCAGGGCCTGAGGGGCCCCAGGGCCATCGCCTTGGGGCATCGGGGGTGCCGCTTCTTCCAGGGAGTCCTCCTCCAGCGCTGCCTCCACAGGGTGCGTGGATCCTGTTACTACCTCCAGCTCAGGCAGGAGGGGTTGGGTCTGGGCTAGAGAAAGATCAGACGACGAAGGTATATTTTCCTGGTGCCCTCCTGTCTGCCCAGCCCTGGTCCCCTTCCCACAGCCCAGAATGCCATGAGCCCTCATTCTCTGTCTCTTTGTACCAGCTACCCAGCCCTTACCCTATCTGGCAACAGTGCCAGGCTCCAAAATAGAAAGTTCCCAAAACAAAACCCACGAGTGATCAAGGGTGTGTGTGTGTGTGTGTGTGTGTGTGTGTGTGTGCGTGCACGTGAGTGCATGTGTTTACATGTGTCCGTGTGGTTGTCAGGGAAAGGGGCCAGAGATGTGCAGTGTTTTTTT